CCTCAACGCAATAACCAAACTCTTCATCACCAAACCATCGTCCTCTGCAAGACGTCCACAAGCGACACTCGAACCCAAAACCCGGGTTCCCGAAATTCCACTAAGAAATTACTGTTGACCAAATAGGGTCGAAGCACACCTTGTAGCAGAAACCATACCACATGCTAGATCAGAAGGTCCCTTACCAATATTGTCACCTTTAATGACTTCTAAAGCATTACAGATATCTCCAAAACTGTACCTACGCTCCATGAGTCCATTGGCATTACAAAGACACATTGTACCCGCTAAAATTGGTGGCAAAACAGAATCATCAACACTCCCTTAAACAAAGTTCTTAACTGACCCAGAGCCAAACCCGAGAGGTCCTGTACCAAATTGAATGTCCACCACGGTACTGAACTTGTCCAAATGTCTGTGAACTGATTCTGCGCTCCCCTGCAAGATGTACAACTGGGATTCCCTTTGTCCCTCCAGTACAACTCGGACACCTATTCGAACCTTCAAGACTCCACTTCCACCAGAAAATTTATACCCTTTTTCATCCAAGGTACTCAGTGATATGAGATTCTTTGTCAAGTCTGGAACATGGCGAACCTGATCAAGTGTCCTCACTATTCCATCCTGTAGTCTCAATCAGACCCGACCGATTCCTGCAACCCAGCAAGATTGGTTGTTTCCCATGACAACTCCACTTTACTTCACCGTCTCATATGTTTGAAACAAAACCCTATTGGGACACATATAATACGAACAAGCAGAATCTAGAATCCACTACTCAAGTTTGGATTCCCCGTCAGATACAGCCAACATCACATCTTCATCATCACAAAAATTTTCAACAATATTAGTCTCATTCGAATTACCTGATTGACCCGCATGATTTGCATGTAAATCACTTTTACCCTACAACTTGTCGCAATATTTCTTGATGTGTCCATTTCTCTTGCAGTGATAACAATACACATTGTTGTACCTCACCTTCGATCTACCCCCCGTCGATCACCATGAGTAACAAGAGCATTCTCACTCCTAGATATAGGATCTCCAACCAACAGCTCCATCTTCTCCTTTGAGAACAGGGCATCGTATACCTCATCAATGGATAACGTGTCACGACTATACAGAATAGTATCACAAAATGACGAAAAAGAATTAGGTAGCGAACACAACAGGACCAAGGCTAAATCATTTTCATCATATTTTACCTCAAACGTCTCCAAATCTGCAACGATCTCCTTGAACACAACAAGGTGGTCCTACAGTAACCATCCTTCCACTATGCGATGAGAATACAACCTCTGCTTTAGAGTCAGTTTGCTTGTCAAACTCTTTGTCATGCACAATTGCTCCAACTTGAGCCACAAAGCAGCCGCTGTCTTCTCTTTCAAAACATCTTGCAGCAAATTGTTGGATAAATGAAGTTGGATTTGTGCAAAAGCCTTCTGATCCTTCCGTTGTTTCTCTTCCATAGACAAGTTTGCTGGCATCCTATCAAAACCCAGCAAAGTATTATCAAGATTTATCTGCGTCAACACAGCTCTCACCTTTACTTTTCACAGCAAAAATCTTGTATTGTGATCCAATAGCGGAATTTCATATTTCAACGAATTTATCCTCGAAAAATCTCAACCAAATCACAAAGAACTTGCAACCTGCAACACCTAAAACTGAAAACTTCCGAACGTGCAAGGGTAAAACAGTCCAGAACCACAATTTTGCCCAGAACTGAAATTGGACACCACCACAAGGTCCGTCTCGTCGTCCGGAGAAAACTGCATGAAGACACCATCGACGAAAAACCCCTCAAGCGCTGTCACGCGCCTTGCCAGAGTTCTACCCGCCGACGATCGATCAGTCACGCGCTGGCGAACTGTGACCCTTTCTGGACCGTCTCTATCTGCTGAGTCCACTGGTGGTGTTCGTTTCTCCAAAAGGTAAGTAGTTTCACCGAAAAACGCACAAACAGATCCGGTAGAAATCGAAAAAACTGGACAGATTCGTTTTCTGATTTTCTAGTAATTTTCAGACCAACTTCCGATCAGTTTCAGGCCAGAAATCCACCAATAAGCTCGCTCTGATACCACTTGTTGGGACCGGTGGAAACGAAACACAAGAATTGAGATTTAATGGACACTAATTTGAAGTATAATACAAGATCACAAAATACCACGAACAAGATTAAAGTAAAAGATGAATTAAGCAGAAGAACGACAAATTTTATTAATATGGAGAGAATTACAATTGGACAGCAATGATGCTTCAATAAAACTGACAGAGGAGCCTTATATTTATAGTACACTTGATCTAGCCCTAAAAAAGTCCCAAAAAAAGTAGAAATATATAATTCAATTAGACTCTTATTTGAGTCACACTTCTAACATAAAAGTCCTAAAAAGAACTATCCAGCTCTGGATTTTTCATTCCTTCAGAAAACATTTCTTGGCAGCGGCATTCATGGCTACAAAAGGCTTTCTCACCCCTGCAACGAAAAAACAAAACGGAAATATAAATTTATGGGTCGATTATGTAAAGTTTTTCTCGCACCCATTTGACAGATTTTTAATACAATATCAATGATATCAAATAGTCTACTTGATCATCTTCCCAAAGAGAGAAGCCTTAAGATCTTGGCTGGAAGTTAGCAGATTTCCAGTGAGACACAGGCATTAATCTTTAGCTTGAGGAGCATTCATTCAATATTATTTGTAGTTGGACCATTCTAGTTTACTGATATTACTACACTTCAACAAAGTTAAGTGTATAAGAAGATAATTCAATAGTACAATACAAAATTGAAGCTTGATCAGTAATTAAACGCATTTTTTTTCCCTCAAGATTTGAGTGTACAAGACCCCAAATATTGCTACAACATAATTTTTTCTCGATACATTTGAATAAACTATACAGGTTTTTTATTTGATAACTCATTCCATTTATCACACTACACCTACGGCCAGGTCCAAGCACAGGTTTTTGCAACTTTACTAGGTTAAGTAATTCAAAGCAACTAGATCCTTAACTATCATGACAAGCATGTTATTTACAACAAATTGAATTAAATTTTCTACGTAGGACTTCTAGCCTTCACATGACTGATATTTGTGCCTTCAGATTCAGTGCATGTTTGGTATGCAATACTTCATACACCTAGACCGTATAATTCACAAAATTTTAGCTTATTTCCTTCTTTATTTTTGTCGTGTCATCTTCCCTACCAAACGTGCAATTAGATGATAAAATTGAACTTTAAAATGGCACGAGAATTGGACTAACCTGTACATGTAAATGTCTTTGCCCTGTCCAAGATCGTCTTTGCAATTATAACAGGAACTAAGGAAATCCATCGACGGAAAGGATGAAGAATTTCTTGAAAACTCGTCTTTTGTTTTGTTTTCAGAAAATTTGACAACACCACAACAGCTTTCCACAATGCAGTTATCAAATA